CATTCTGTAGACCAGGCTGGCCTGGAACTCAGAGATCTGCCTGCCTCTGTCTCTTTAGTGCTGGGATTAAAGGCGTGCACCATCACCGTGGGGCTTTTAATATGCTGATTTCGACAAACACCACCTATACTTAAGTTGTTCCACGAATCTGGAAACAGTGCAGTGTCCCGTTCAGCGGACCCTGAGAAACTGCATTTGTTCATTTGCTTTTTCATTTTTATAATTTGTGTGTGTGCGTGCGCGTGCATACCGGGTGGTGTGTGGTGTGGTGGTATGTTACAGCGTTAGTGTGGAAGTCAGAGGACACCTTATGGGAGTTGATTCTTTTCTTCCACCGTGTGGGTCACAGGGATCACACTCAGGTTGTCAGCCTTGGTGACATGACCCTTTCTTTACCTTCCTGCTCAGCTGCCAGATGGTGCTGCAGCAAGTCTGTGGAATTCATTTAAGTAGACAAAATTCTGGAGCCGGGTTTCCCTGGACTGACAGTGAGGTCTCTTCAACTACCACTGTGCTTCAGTTTGGTGGTCTGCAAAATAAAGACCTGGAATGCACCTTGAGGTAGGAGCGACCCAGATATGCAGCTATTAACATTCCCTGGAGCAGTGAAGTAGGGTGCAAACGTGAATGAATGGATAACTTTGGGCGAGTAATTCTTTCCTGGGTGGCTAGAGTCAAGACGGCCCATTGATGGGGAAGAGGGCACCCTCCCAGAAAGTTCTCTCCACCGTCTTGGTCAGGAGGGCCCCGAGGGCCCGGAAGCCTGCAGAAGCCGGCGCCCCGCGGACCAATGGGCTGCGGGGAAGGAGGGGATTACGCCCGCCAGCCCTTTCCGTCTGCGGCCCCGCCCCCTTGGAACGTTGTGACGTCGGAGCATTCCACGGTTGCTACATCGTCGCGAGGGGCGGGGCGCCTGTCAGGGAAGCGGTGCGCGCGGGTGGCGGGCGGGCTGGGGCTTCTCCACACAGTGCCAGCCCCAGCCCCAGACCCGCCCGCACCCCGCGCTCTCCCTCGTGCGCGTCGCGTCTCCAAGGACTCGCCAGCCCGCACTCCTGCTCTCGCCCGTGAGCCGCCTCAGGATGGAGCTGCTGTGTTGCGAGGGCACCCGGCACGCGCCCCGGGCCGGGCCCGACCCGAGGCTGCTGGGGGACCAGCGTGTCCTGCAGAGCTTGCTCCGCCTGGAGGAGCGCTACGTGCCGCGAGCCTCCTACTTCCAGTGCGTGCAAAAGGAGATCAAGCCGCACATGCGGAAGATGCTGGCGTACTGGATGCTGGAGGTAAGGCCCGGACCGGTCCCCTCTCCTCACCCTACCCCCACCTCCGGCTCTGGGCAAATCCAAGTTGCCCTGTCGGGGCATCATGAATCGGACCACAGTCTTCAAGATGCTTTGGCGGCCCCGACTTGAGGGGCCTGGCCTTTTCACACAGGCATCCACCCTAGCCAGCTGCCTGCGTTCTGTCCCCTTCCTTTCCCCAATCCCGATCGGCTTCTTCTGAGACTGCCAGTCACTTGGCACTGTAACTAAACTTCACTTCAGGTCGGGAAAGCGGGCTAAGGGCCACTATTTCCCCTCTGGCTTCTCTCGGTGTCTCCTGCTTCCTTCCTCGCCTGTAGTTCTCCGAGAGCGTGCTTGGAAAAGTCTGGGGCTCGACCGACCGCCTTAGCCCTAGAACTGGTTCCTGTGTCTGTCGCGGGGTTCTGGCGGGGGAAGCTGGTGGGGGTGGCGCGCGCTCGGTTCCGGTCCACAGGGAAATGAAAAGTGCGGGAGACCGCGGCAGGAGTTCCCTCCCTTCCCCTTGGGAGTGTGTGTGCAGTGGGTGGTGGTAATGAGGGTAAGGTCCCAATTCTCTCTAGGCGACCCTTCCGTCCCCCTTCCGCTCGCCGTGGGGGAGGGGAGTCTGGAATCCCTCGTGAGCAAGGGCTTCTCTCCTTTACACCCCCACCACTCAGGGGTGGGGAGGAGGCCAGGCAAAGGAAGTGGGGGGGTCACCTTGGGGAGGGCGCATCCTCCTCGGTTATTGATTCTTGTCACTGTAAGTTTATCCCGTCTCTGTTTATTTTTTGCTCCACATTCCACTCTCCCTCCACCCCCCATGCTGCTGCGTTTCACTTGGTCCTTCCCTAGCAATGACTCGTGCGCCATCCCTCAGGTGTGTGAGGAGCAGCGCTGCGAGGAGGATGTCTTCCCTCTGGCCATGAACTACCTGGATCGCTACCTGTCTTGCGTCCCCACCCGAAAGGCGCAATTGCAGCTCCTCGGTACTGTTTGCCTGTTGCTGGCCTCTAAGCTGCGCGAAACCACGCCCCTGACTATTGAGAAGCTTTGCATCTATACGGACCAAGCTGTGGCTCCTTGGCAGTTGCGGGTGGGCCCCCCCCCCCCCCGCTCTCAAATACTGTCGCCCTATGTACTAGAAAAGAGAACTCCAAGCTCAGTCCCTCACTCACCAACCCTCCCCTCGCCCTAGGCCAGTATTTTGGAAAAGAACTGGGGTGGGACAAAGGCCATGTAGTGTGGTAGTTGTGCTTTAGTTGCAGGCTTAAAACCAAATGAACCCCCTTCCTCTGACCATAGTGGGGTTACCCCAGATAGCAACCAGTCCAGTTGCTGGTCTATACACCAGTACTTTGCCTCTGGGTTTACACAGCCACCATGAGTTATTTATTGGCAGCAGCAGGGCATGTCTGCACACCCCCACCGGAGTGGAATGTGCTTCACGTGGGGGAGGGGGCTGCCTTGCATGAGTCTTTATCCCCGTGTGGACTTTGTGATGGAAAAGCCTCCCAGAGCTGATTAAAGCCAGGCCCTGATTGCTGGAAGGAAGTGCTGAGGTGTTTTCATCCCTTTCCCTTCTATTCCCAAAGACAGAGCCCCTTCCCTACCCACCCTTCCTTGTCTTCTGAAAAAACGAGAGCAGCTGCCCTGGGCCGGTGGAAGGGTTTCTCCCTTTGCCTCTTAGCCAAAGGCCGAAGAGACAGGGAGCCGAGCTGCAGCTGCTTCGATGTGATAATGATGCTGGTCCCCTTGCCCTCCCACTCAGACCAAGGGCTTTCATAACCCTGTGGGGAGCTGCTGTCACTCCTGTGGTTTGGGAAGTGGCTCCTTGGGGTCTCTTGCTGGGAACATGGGCTGGGCTCCTCCAGGCGGGGCAAAAATCGGTTGGGTTTTGCCCTGCCCCGAGGAGTCTAGGGAGGAGGTGGAGGAACTGCTTGAATCTGGAATAGAGCTTGAACATCATCTCCCACAGGGTCTGGGGGAGAGGGTGGGTGAGCTGGCACCTCCCTCCACCTTATTCTGTGGCTAGCCAAGCCTTCCCTGACCCTGAAAGGAGTCTCTGGGCCCCATCTCCTAGGGAGGAGGGCAGCAGGCAGGCTAATGTGATTGGCTGGCTGGGAAGCTAGGGTACTGGGGCCCCTGACTGCCTTGAGTCGGGGAACTGGATTCCTCTCCCTGTCAAGCAGCTGATGGGAGGCCTGAGTTGGGAATCAGGGAGGCCCCACAGCTCTTTGTGATGAATCTGGTAGTTTCCACAGCCAGGGAGCAAGATGTTTTCGAGGGATTGAGGCAGGGAGGTAGGAGACTTCCTCTTTGTGCAGAGATTAGGGTGGTCTACATTAGTGTGTGTGTGAGGGGAGGTTTTCAGAATAGGCAAGCCTTCTCCTAGAGGCCTGCGCTGAGTGGCCTGCGGTCAGAGCTGTAAGGGACCTCTAAGAACTCCAGCAGTCTAAACCCTTGCATCGCAGGGCCCGAGAAAGGAGGGGAAATTCCAACTGTATGGCACTGACCAGAACGCCTTAAAGCCAGGGATGAGCAGTATGCAGCCAACCATGGTGTTCGGGAGGTGGGGCTGGGATTCTCATGTTGTCTGGATATCGGGGAGGGTGGCCACCTTCCCTCAGTGAGGACCCCACACAGTCTGGTTGCCTCTTGCTTCCTTGGAGGCTGGATGCTGTTGGTTACCAGGGCAAGCCTCTGTGCCTTACTTCTGGCTCTGGCCCAGGCTTTTTCTGTAGGCTCTTCTAAGTACCCTGGGGCTGACACCTAGGTCGTGGGACAGAGAGAGGGACAGCTGTTGCTGGGGTCCTGGAAGAGGTTGGGTGGGGCTGACATTTGTACCTCATTGAGGAGTCAAACCCATGAGTTCCTTCCTGAGATAAAACAATGAAGAAATCCTCATGTGTGCAACTCGGAAATGCAACTCAGGCCAGGACTTGGAAACCCAGACAAATGAGCTGGGGTTGGGGCTCCTAGACTACTACTATGACCTCTTATTGGTTATGTAGGCTTGGGCAGATGCCTCAGGGGCTATCTGGATTCATCCTGTTTGGCTTGGCCTCCGTGTCTTGAGACAGGACCCACCCCTGGTGTCCCACAAAAGGGGTGTGGGTGGGGTTGGGTAATCTCCCCTTTGAGGAACCTCAGGAGTGCCTCATGTTCATTCTGTCTCTTTAAGAGACCAGGCTGAGATGCAGGGCCAGGGAGGGACAGGCTAATGACTGTGGCTCCCCTTCTGAAGTCCTTGCAGTTTAGTCTTTCTGCTTCAACTGATGCTGGCCTCACATTCATGGGAAGACTAAGAGGGATGTCATGCCATTCTAGTACCCAGTAATGATGAATAGATGCTCAAGAAAATGCCCTGAATTCATCATTCCAAGGTGCTAACTCCTGCAGCCAGAAGTAGAACTGTAAATCTTCTGCCATATCCTGACCTGTTTTGCCAGCCACTGACTCCATGCTCATCCCCTTTCTCCAGGAATGGGAGGTGCTGGTCCTGGGGAAGCTCAAGTGGGACCTGGCTGCTGTGATTGCACACGATTTCCTGGCTCTGATTCTGCACCGCCTTTCTCTGCCCAGTGACCGACAGTCCTTGGTCAAAAAGCATGCCCAGACCTTTTTGGCCCTCTGTGCTACAGGTAAGAACCTTGGACACGGGGTTTTCCAGTTTGGGAAAAACCATGATTTGAAGGCTAAATAGTAATCAGGAGATTGTTTCCATACTCAGAACTATTCATATAGGATCTTTTTTTTTTTTTTAAGATTTTATTTTATATCTGCACACCGGCACCAGGTCTCATAACGGATGGTTTTGAGCCACCATGTGGTTGCTGGGAATTGAACTCAGGACCTCTGGAAGAGCAGTCAGTGCTCTTAACCTCTGAGCCCCTCATATAGGATCTTGGTGATCCTGGGATGGAGGTATGAGGCACTGACTAGCCTGAGGCCCCCACCCTAGGGGTTTGGGTATTCTCTAGTTCCTGACCAGGTCCAGCCTGGGTGGAAGGAAATTTTGCTGTTCTCAGATCTCAGAAGGTTGGGTGGGGTATAGTGGTTCAGTGATTTTGTGCATGCCTCAGTCAGATGCCAGCACCATGGACACACACACCAAACACTCCCATTGTCCCTGAGTCACCCCACCCACCACTGGGGGTTCCCAGTATGCTGCATCCATGCAACCTGGCATGCTGTAACAGGAAACAGAGGTATAAGATGACTCTTCTCATGGCTCCCTTTCTTTTACAAGATTACACCTTTGCAATGTACCCTCCATCCATGATCGCTACAGGCAGCATTGGGGCTGCAGTTCAAGGCCTAGGAGCCAGCTCTATGTCTGCAGATGAGCTTACAGAGTTGCTGGCAGGAATCACAGGCACGGAAGTGGTAAGTCTCAGGCCCCATTCACAAAAAGCAGTGTTATCCCTCAAATCCCCAGAAGAGGGCAGCATCCACCCCCAACTCCAGTTGTACAATTTTGCCTGCTTCTGTGGCCTTTTATCTCCTGCCTCTGGAGAGGATCAGGTGGGATGAAGGACACACATGTAGCTGCCCCTCTCTTGCCAGTGGTATGCTGCACCAAGGGGTGGGAGACTTGGTGTCAGATGCAGGGCTGCTCTCACACCCTTGCCACATCCTCTTGCCAGTTTCTGAGAACTGAGACCCAATTCCTGGGCTGGGTTGTGGCCTAACCTCCCCAGACTTCCCGATGTGCAGGGGGGTGGCCTTTCCCTTGCACCTGCCTGTTGTTACTGACCTTGTTGTTCTTCCTAGGACTGCCTGCGAGCCTGTCAGGAGCAGATCGAAGCTGCCCTCCGGGAGAGCCTCAGGGAAGCTGCCCAGACTGCCCCCAGCCCAGTGCCCAAAGCCCCCCGGGGCTCTAGCAGCCAGGGGCCCAGTCAGACCAGCACTCCCACAGATGTCACAGCCATCCACCTGTAGCTTGGGACAGGCCCCCTCAGGTGGCCACCAAGCAGAGGAGGGGCCACTGCCACCCCTTCCCTTCCTCTAGGAACAATCCATGCTATATCGGAAGCCCGATGGGGGGTCCTCCTTCCCCTCACAAAGCCCAAGGGGCCAGGTCCTGCCTATCCCCACAGTTGTGCACTAAGGTGCTGGTTGGCCATGAGGGCTCTGCATGGCCAGTCAGCTCCTCCTCCTTCCCACCTGACCAGCTCAGCTGTTCTGGGCCATGCTGGTCAGAGAAATCCAAACAGGTAAAGTCCATGCACCAGCATTCCTTGTGAGTCCCTCCTCTCTGGGGCTCTAATTTTCTCAATTGCCAAAACGCCCCAGTTCCTTCCAAAGGTGTTGCCCCTCCTAGGGTCAGTGCATTTGGATTCGGGTCCTTCAAGCATCCTGATAACCGTGCATGAGGTACCAAATAGATGGCTGCTGTGTAATCCATGCTCCCAGCTGCTCTTGGAGGGAACAGCCTAGGCCTTGGTCAGAGGGGCAAGAACCTACCAATTCTTGCTTTGCTTCCTGCTTAGCTTCTGTGATTGAGGGCTCTTTGAGGGGTGCTGATGGTCATTTTAATTTATTGCTTTGAATACAACTGTAAGAGGGTACAGTGAGGCCTGTACCCCACAAGCGGTGGTAACCCTGGTGGTTGCTGTTTCCCTCCCCTCTGCTACCGCTTTGTGGTCCAGGAGCTGCTACAGCCTGGGATGGGGCCATGCCTTCCTCTCCTGAGGCCCTGTACCTCGTCTTCCAGCAGAGGGTTTGAGTAAGGATGGATGCTGTGGAGGACAGAGCCTATCTGGAGAGGTCCAAGCCCTATTGACACAGGTCTTTCCTTAGGCCACAAGGTTTGGGCTGGTGGCCCATTTCTATCATGCTGCCTTAATAAAGATTCCGGAATAAAACTTGCTTTGGCTCTTGAAGTACCTGGGGCTGTGTGTAGAAGCAGGGAGGCACAAGTCAGCTGTCTCAGGTAGGGAACATTTCTTCTTAAAGGCAATGTGGCCCACTTTACCTGTGCACTTCTACAAGTTATGGTTTAAGGAGTGATCACCATGCCCCAGAGGGCTCATGGGAAAACAGGTCTGGACAGTTTTATGTAAAACAAGAATTTTGCTGTACTCTGGCATGGTGGCCTATTCCTGTAATCTTTGGTGGCACTCACAGGGCAGAGGAAGTTGTTTTAGTCTACCCTGTGCTACATGGCAAAATCTTGCTTCAAAACCCACACGGGGACCGCACTAGTGGCCCAGTAGCTGAGAGTATGGGCTACTCCTGAGAGCTATGATTTGACCACAACCATCAGTAACTCTAGTCTCAGGATCTGATGCCATGCAGGCACAATGCTCATGTACATTAAAAAACAAGAGATGGATGGGGTAGGAATGTGTCTGGAAATACTTTCTCTGGTTCCCATCTGCAGTACTGCAGAGAGGCAAACTGGTAGAGACGTGGCCATTTGGCTTGGCTGAGCGAGGTGTACTTTTCTCTGTCATTTACCTCCTGTTTCCAAGATGAACTAAAAGTGTAAGCAAATGCGAATGCCTCAACAGATTGAAACTGTTTGCAGATACATGAACTGGATTGTAACAGGCGTACTTTTTCAAAAGCAAAAGTGATGTAGCAGAATGACTTGGGAGTTGTCAGCTGTGATGCACATGGCTGGGACATGGATGTGCCCCCCTACCCCGAGATAGGGTCTGTATAGTTAGTCCTGGTTGGTCTCAAACTTAGAGATCCATGCCTGGCTGCAACTAAAATTTCATACACATTTTAAGCCATTAGAAAAAGATTGTTCATCAGCTATACAAATAGGCACTTGACCTTGGTTTGTTAACCAGTCTAAAACTCTTGTTCAGAATGCAAGGAAGAAACCTACTGGACTACTGAGTTTGCTGGTCTCCCAGAAAGAGGGATGCTCCTGCAGCAGTCTCCACTGAGAGCAATATGGCGACTACGATCTTTCCAGCAGAACATCAGTAGAAGCTGGTGTTCCAGCAAAATAGCCCATGAACATGTCATTGGTAGGGAGTGTGTGTGCACCGCACACACACCCACACACTTCCTCTTTGTGGAGAGGAAGGGGAGTCTAGACAGACAGTTGTGAGGAACAGGGTAGGTGAAAGAACCATGAACGACTCTCACCTCTAGCCACAGGGGAGGCAGGAACCTCCAGGGACTGACTGGACCAAAACACAGAGCTTCAATAAATAACTGACTCTGTTTTATACACACCCCAGTGAACTGACACAGTAACTGGAGAGAGCAGCCCTCATACCACAAACCAGCTGGGTTGTGGGAGTGCTGACATCAGATAACTCCAGTTAGCTTCCAGAAGTGAACAGGGACCAAAGCCTAGAATGGCAGAGAAAGCCAACCAGATCAATCCTCCTGCCCAGGACTGGAGCCACACACAGATGCCGTCGTAAGCCTACAGTGCCTTAACCTAGGTCTTTAACTAGATCGTTGGTCACCAACTGGGCTCCTGGTGTCCTCCTATCCTCCCTGGACCAAGACAGGTGAGCGCTGTCATTCCATGGTGACAGGAACATCTTCTACATCTCTGGGGACTGCACTCTGGAGCTCACGTCTGATTTCCGGAGACAACTGTGGGTGGGGCTGCAGTCGAAGCAGTTCCAGGAGGGCCTCCTTCTGGTCCGTGGCCAAGTCGGCCTTGTAGCGTTGTGCCAATGTCAGGAGGCACTGGTGCCAGAGCACAGGCAGCTGGCGCTTCTCCGTCCGGAAGCCCAGAAAATGGAAGACCAGGGCGTCTAGCACCCGGTATGGCAACGCATACTTCTTATCTAACAGCAGGCGCAGGAAAATGCTGTTAGCGCCACTGTATTCCATCTCGGCAATCTTCAGCATGGCCGCACTAGGAGGGAAGCTGGAGTTAAGGACTAGTGGAGAGATTCTGGACAAAGTGTCTCCCCAGACTCACCCTAACCTAGAGCATTCCCAAGGTGTCCCCGCATCTCCTCATTAGTACACTCCTGGGATTGATTCTCTTTACCGCCTGTCTACATCCATCTCACACTTCTGCCTCTGGCCGGGATAGCAAACAATCCCTGCATTCAACTCGATAGGGTGTGTCTAAATGTCTCACCACTCCACCATTTATCACACCTTTTTCCTAGGTATCCATTCATTCATGCCGTCATTCACAAAATTCATGCCGTCAACAACTATTTACTGAACACCTACTGTGTGCCAGGTCTTTGGATCCTGCCCTCGAAGGCTTCTATTCTGTTGGAGCAAATCATATACCCGCTGGCTTAAATAGCCACAGAATCTAGGTAATCATAGCTCATTCTCCCTTCTTGCCCTCCTGCCAAAGTTCTGGCCTCTCTACTACATGACTCTCCACCGACCTCACCAACACTACCTGGAGTGCAACACAGGGATGGAGCACTTAGTGATGATGCTGCCCACGATGATGGCTTCTCGGAGGGTACATGTGCCAGACTCGCACAATGGGATCAGGATTCCTAGGCAGAGTCATATACAGGGACTTTTAGTACCCAGCAAGCCCAACATCTAAGGACCAACAGTGGAGATAGCCAGTTGCCAAGCAGAGTACTGACCCTTCCTTTCTCTCTTACTTCTGGGTTTTTACCTTTAAACCAGGCTCCAGGTTTGAACAGGGCTTTCTTGAGTGCCATGTAGAGGTGAAAGTTGAGTTGTTTGTACTCTGCGATGCCATCCCATACTCGGGGATGCAGAACAAGGTTGTAGAAGTGCTGAGCCATCGTTCTTTCAGATTAGAGGTAAAAATCCTAGCAAGGTGGGAGTTTGCAAGTCACAAGAGTCTGGCCCTGGCCTTTTAAGTATCACCATGCATGAGAGAGGTTTTAGAGTAAGATATGGGGACATCACTTCAGAGAGGGGTATGTGAAGTGGTATGTGAAAGGTTCAGGCATTATGCTGGCCTGCCTCTGTCACCTGGCAGAATCCACTCAGGCAGTACCCTGGTCAGCCCAGGGTTCCATGGGAACTAAGTCTGCACTCATGGTATAGAGGAACCCTTTAAAAGACAGACGCTGCCCACTTACACTCTCTTCTCTTCTCTTATGCTCTCTCTGCCTCTCTATGGCAACCGGCCATGGCGGTCATTCAGGAACATTAACCCTGTTCCTCTTCTTTCTTAGTCTCTACTCTGCTGGGCTTATAATAACCTGGGTAATACATCTTAGTCTCATGTCTCATCTTGTGCCTCTTCTTCATTTCTAATTTAAGCAAAAGAATAACAGTATGCACACCACACCCAGGTCCGCTTAAAGAGGAGCTACTTTGCCTGCAAGTAGGTCTGTGCACCATATATGTGCCTGGTACCCATCGGATTTTCTGGAGCTAGAGATGGCTGAAAGCCTCCACGTGGGTGCTAGGAATTGAACCCAGGTCTTCTAGAAGAACAAGTGCTTTTAACCACCGAGCCACCTCTCCAGACCTAGCATTTTTCTTTTGTTGGTTTTTCCAGTCAGGGTTTCTCTGTGTGTAGTCCTGACTCTACAGGAACTCACTGTGCAGAACAGGCTGGCCTAGCACTCACAGAGATCCACCTGCCTCTGCCTCCTGAGTACTGGGATTCAAAGTGTGCACCACCATTGCCTGGCCCCTAGTGTATTTCAAACAGTGCTTTTGCTTAGACCCATGGCCTTTTGTGCATTATTTAATCGAGGCACCTCGAGCTTCTTTCCCAGTCCAGTCTTTGGCTGGCTACTCTCCTTTCTCCACCATGAGGGACCTGAGGTCACCGGAGAATTCTCAGAATTCTCAAGCTACTCTTCTCTCACAACAGGGCTGTATCCAGGAAGCTATGTAGGCCCTTCCCATAGAAGTCTACCACAGGACTTTGTCCTGAAAACGCAAGAGGAGAAGTTAAGGGAGTACCAGCCACCCAAGCCCATCTACACTACCTGGTGGCTTGATACATAGCAGCCGCAGTCCAGGCCTCAGGCTCAGTGACATAGAGGATTTGCTCCCAGTTGGACAGTGCAGGGATGATCTTAAAAGCCTTGGGCAGTTTCCCACTTCGGCCCTTGGATAACACCTGGAGATGGAGGAGGCAGAGCCATCAGCACCCACGGTTGAGGTCCTGGCCCCGTCCCTGCGTTTTCATGCGCGGCCTCACTTATCTTCAGAGCAACCCAAAAAGGCTCATTTCTCAGGTGACCAGAATTTAGTGACTAGACCCTGAGCCCACTGGTTCTGCCTCAGTCCTTTTCTGTCCTGGCCACCATGGCTCACTCGTCGGGTGCCATGTGTGAGAGGCTTCCTGTTAGGATACCCCACCACACATGCCCTCACAGTCCTTACCTCCCGGACTCCTCTGTAGACCTCCAGGACCCGGGGGTCCAACTGAGGCATAGGGAAGCCCGACACCTCTGACATGACCGTCACCAATTCTGTCTGCTTCTCGGTCAGCTTCTCCATGATGATGTCAGCCAGTGTGTGCCTATGGAGACAGAGGGGACAACGGTGAAGAACTAGGGTCACTCTCCAGGAAGCTCTAAAGTCCCCTCACCCTGTTCATGAAAGGAAGGACAGACAGACAGACAGACAGCCATAGTGGCACGAGCCTTTAAGGCCACCACTTGGGCAGATCTCTGTGAGGTTAAGGCCAGTGTGGTGGTCTTCATAGGGAATTCCAGGTCAGCCAGGACTCCGTAGTAAGACACTGTCTCAGAGGAAAAAAGGAGGCACGAAACAGTCCCCAAACAAATCAGGAATGCTGCACAAACTAGCATGTCACTCTTGCACAGGGGTCACTCTAGTCTGTGATATTGTTCCAGTTCTAGCATAAATGCTGCTATAAGCATCTCAAACTTGATTTTTTTTCTTTTAAATTTATTATGTATAGTATTCTGCCTGCATGTATGTCCGCAGGCCAGAAGAGGGCACCAGATCCCATTACAGATGGTTGTGAGCCACCATGTGGTTGCTAGGAATTGAACTCAGGACCTCTGGAAGAGCAGCCAGTGCTCTTAACTACTGAGCCATCTCTCCAGCCCTTTAAACTTTATTATTATTGCCGTGTGCTCATGTGGAAGTCAGAAGACCACTCTATGGAGCTGAGTTTTCCTTCCACCTTGAAGTGAGCTCTGGGGATTGAACTCAGGTCATCAGGCTTGTGCAGGAAGCACTTCACCTGCCTGGCCATTTTGCTGCCTCACCCTTTTCAGCCTCTTTAAACAGAAGCCATCAAATGAGGATTCAAAATTACCATAGCCTGAGGCTAGAGAGACAGCTCGGTGGTTAAGAGCACTTACTGCTCTTGCAGAGGACCTGGGTTCAGTTCCCATTATCTGCACAGTGGATGTGACTCCTGTTCTCATATTCTTTGGACTTTCATGGGCACTAAGAATGCACATGACATACATACATACATACATACATACATACATACATACATGAAATAGACCCATATACATGAAGCAAAACGAAGAAAGAAAATTTTAACATATTACATCATAGCAGGTTATAGTCTGCTCATGGCATCTTTAAGGTCACCGACACATACTTAAAAGTTGCCCCTCAGTTGGAGGTGTCACTCAGTGATTAGCTCAGATGAGGCCCTGGGTTCTAGCCTCCAGGCAACATTGTTCAGACTTCCAGATCTGTGTCCTAT